AAGGAAGGAAGGAAGGAAGGAAGGAAGGAAGGAAGGAAGGAAGGAAGGAAGGAAGGAAGGAAGAGGAAGGAAAAGAAAAATAATTTTTTGCTTAGATCTGTACCTTATTTTTTAATTGGGTTGCTTTCTTGATATCCAGATTCTTGATTTCTTTATGTATTTTTGATGTTAGCCCTCTATCAGCTGTGTAGTTGGTAAAAGTCTTTTTCCACTCTGTAGCTTACTGCTTTTTCCAAATGACAGTGTCCTTAAGCTGTGCAAAAGCTTTTCATTTTCTTGAGGTCCCATTAATTAATTGTTGATCTTAGTATTTGTGCTAGTGGTGTTCTATTCAGAAAGTCTTTTCTGCCAGTGAGTAATAGGCTATTCACCTATTTTTTCTGTCAGGTTTTGTTTATCTGGTTTTAGGTTGGGGTCTTCAATCCATTTGGAGTTGAGTTTTGTTTAGAATGATGAGTATGGATCTATTTTGATTCTTCTACATGGAGCTGTCCAGTTTGACCAGCACCATTTGTTAAAGATGCTGTTTTTCTTCCAATTTATAATTCTGCCTTCTTTATCAAAACTTAGGTGTCCATAGGTATATGAATTAATATATGAGCCTTCAATTCTATTCCATTGGTGAGTCTGTTTTTGTGCCAATACCATGCTGGTTTTGTTACATAGGTCTGTAGTACAATTTGAGATCAGCGGCTGTGATACCTCCAGGAGTTCTTTTATTATTCAGGATTGTTTTAGTTATTTTGAGATTTTGTGTTTCCGTTTGAAGCTGAAAATTTTCTTTTCAAGATCTATGAAGACTTGTGTTGGAATTTTGATGGAGATTGCATTGAATCTGTAGAGTGCTTTTGGTAAGATGGCCAGTTTTACTATATTAAAACTGATCCATGAACATGGGAGAGCTTTCTGTCTTCCCATATGTTTTTCACTTTTTTTTTTCTTTTTATCATACAAATCTTTACTTGCTTGGTTAGAGTTACCCCAAGATATTTTATATCATTTGAGGCTCTGTGAAGAATATATTTCTTTCCTTGATTTCTTTCTCAGACTGTCATTTGTAAATAGGAGGCTTACGGATTTCTCTAAATTAATTTTATATCCTGCTACTTTGCTCAAAGTGTTTATAAGCTATAGGAGTTTCCTAGTGGAATTATTAGGACCACTTATGTATACTATCATATCATTTGCAAATAAAGATACTTTGACTTCTTCCCTTCCTATTTACATCCTCTTAATCTCTTTCAGTTGTCTTACTGCTCTAGCTAAGACCTTGAGTACTATATTGAGTAGGTATGGAGAGAGTGGACAACCTTGCCTTGTTTGTCATTTTAGTGGGAATGCTTAGAGTTTCTCTCCATTTACGTTGATGTTGTCTACGGGCTTGCTATAAATTGCGTTTATTATGTTGAAGTATGTCCCTTGTGTCCCCAGTCTCTCATGAAAATCAGGTGTGAGCTCCGTATGTGATTTAAACTATAATAGTGCCTTTGTGTTTGGTTCCTAGATGTTTAGACTGCAATATCTTCTTGCTGGATTTTTTGATACAGTGTTCTTCCCTACATCTTCTGATTAGTTTTGGTTTGAAGTCTGTTTTGCCTGATATTACAATGATTACATTATCTTGCTTCTTAGGACTATTTGTTTATAATATCCTTTTTCCATCCTTTTACCTCGAGTTGATGTCTATCCCTGATATTAAGATGTGGGTCTTTTGGATGCAGCTTAAGGGCGGATCCTGTTTTCAAATCCATACTGTTAGTCTGTCTCATTTTACTAGGGAATTGAGACTATTGATGTTTAGAATTATCAAGGAGCCATGTTTGTTGGTTCCCATTATGATGTTGTTGTTGTTGTGAGGGGATTTTCCCCCATTATTTTGATTTCCTGGTTTGATTTATTTATTCCTTATGTTTTCTTAGGTGTGGTTAGCCTCTCCATGTTGTAGTTTTTCTTCTAGAGCCTTCTGCTGGACTAGATTTGCAGATAGATGTTGCCTAAATTTGGTTGTGTCGTGGAATGCCTTTTCCTTTCTCCATCTATTGTGATTGAAAAGTCCTGATGGGTTTATGTTTCTTTTAAAAGTTTGTAGAACATCTGACCAGGTCCTTTTGGCTTTTAGAGTCTCCATTGAAAAGCCAGGAGTTATTTTTACATAGCTGCCTTATATGTTAGTTGGTCTTGTTCCCTTGCACCCTTTTAGTATTTTTTCGACTGTACATTAGTGTTTTGATTACGTAACAAGAGGAATTTATTTTCTGGTTCCGTTTATTTCGTTTTCCATATGCATCCTATACCTTGATAGACACCTCCTCCTTTAGGTTGGGGCAATTTTCTTGTACGATTTTGTTGAGTTTCTTCTCATTCCTTTATGCCTATTATTTGTCGATTTGGTCTGTTCATCACATCTCAGATTACTTACATGTACCTAGATTCTTTTAGATAACATTTTCTTTGACTAAGGTCTGCATTTCTTCTATCTTGTCGTCAGTGCCTGAGATTCTTCCTTCTCTTCTATTCTGTTGGTAAGGCTTGCTTCTCAGGTTCCTGTTCAAGTTTCAGTTACCCCTCATTTTAGGTTTTCTATTTCTACTTCCATGTCTTGAACTGTTTTCTCCATTTCATTCCACAGTTTGTTGTGATTCATAGATTTTTTTCATGGATTTATTAATTTCCTCTTAAAGGACTTCTCACATATTCATAAAGACTATTTTTAAGTTTTTGTTTTGTGTTTCAGCTGTATTGCATTTTCAGGGCCTGCTGTGATAGGGTTGTTGGGCCCTAGGGAAGACATACTGCCCTGGCTGGTGTGTTTTTATGCTGATGTCTGAGCATCTGGATTTGGGATGATCATTATTCTAGATGCTGAAATCTGGTCCTATCTTTGTTGGGTGGGTGCTTTGTTCCTTGGCTTCTATTACCCTCTCTGGTTCTTATGAGAGTGTGGTGGCTGTAGGTTGCCTGGTAGGGAATGTGGCCGAGACCCTGTCAGGTGTGGCCATTATCGGGGAGAAATGTATTTCTAGGTATTGGGAGCAAACACTTCGAAATGAAGGTAAGCTTGGGGTTGAGGGCATCCACAGAAGGAAAGCAGAATGTGTCACTGGATTTGCTTAGTCTACTGGGAATGACGGCAGGGAGGACGGAAAGGCCACTACAGTTGGTCTGCTCCAGAGATGGGCTTGGATTTGGAGGTGAGGAGAGAGACTGAAGGTCTGAAGACTGCCTACTTGCTTCCTTGTCAGGCATGGGGTTCCCAGGGAATGGCTGTGGGAGTTGGACAAAAAACGACTATTTATCATGTATCATATGCCATTATTACTGTGGCATTTTCTGTGCTCTTGTACCTCTGTCTAGGTTGGAGGGCCTTGTTTTGTTTTGTTTTTTTCCCAGGACTAGTTAATAACAGTGATGCCAGGACCTGTGACGTGGCTTAGCACTTGACAGGCTGCATTTGATTGTCAGAGCCATGTAAAGGTGGATGGAGACCATTGACTCCACAGAGCTGTCCTCTGACCTCTGCACACACGCTCAGATCTTACACACCAAATGACTAATATACAAGTAAAATACAAATTATACTAATAGGAAAGACCAATATATCATAGGTCAGGGTGACAAAGGGCAAGACCTTTTACTTTTAGGAAAACACTTTCCATTCTTACAATTTAAACAAAAGACTTAAAATCACTCATATAACAGGTTAAATTGCAGAAGTGGATGATCCACAGCACGGGTGGAGGCTGAAGTGGGTAGCCATATACAGTGGAGTCCTTGCTACCTTGAATAAGACACTATTCAAAATCCATGTACTCATGCTATTTTAACAGGGCATTTCAAAGTTATTCTGAAATTACTGGATTTGTACATTTTCTTTCCTGGTGATATACAGAATTTTCCAAAAAGAATCATCCAAATAAAAAATACGATTAAACCTTGCAGTTATTAGGAGAACTTAAATATAATTCATATTCAGATTCACAAGAAAATTAGTTTTTGAGGTTTCATTTAAGAGGAATCAGTTTAATCATAAGCATTAGACCCCTAAAAGAATATATCATTCTACACAAAATCTCCTCTCAGCTAAAGGCTAGCCTTTTAATGCTTTTAATTATGGAGAAAATAAATTGCACTTGAAATATCATTATTTCAATAAACTATATTATTCATAAGTTTTATTTTCTTTAAAGATAATTGTGTCTTCAGAGACAGGAATTAAATTAATTTTGTGTGGTTAGAATGCTGTCCCAGTAGAAGAAAGGAAACGACAGTGTAAATGCTCTTACCACTGAGCTGCAGTCCCCAACCCAAAAGAAAAACACACCGAAAATGCTTATTGTCATGATGTTTGAAAGATCAAGATTTTAGGTGATTTTGATTTCTCCTTTCTGTATGTTTTTGTATTTTCCATGCTTTCTCTAAATTATTTTTTTATTTTAGAATTGGGGAGATAATTTTAAATTAGTATAATGACTTAAGATTTCTGCAAGGCTTCATAGCTTGATTTTATTTTCTTTGTTTTACTTAGGGGAAAATGGCTTTACTGGCCTCAAATAGCTGCTTTATTAGATGTAATGAAGCAGGCGATATAGAAGCAAAGAATAAAACAGCAGGAGAAGAAGAAATGATAAAGGTAACTACCTCCTACAAGTTAGGAGTGGCGTCTGTGAACACAGGACAGCCTGTGTCACTTTCCAGGCCTACCTACCTTTTCTGTCTGATCCAGATGTGCTTTACTTTGAATCACAGATCTAGTCATGTCATATTTATGCCGTGCAATTAAGAAAGTACAGCAAGAGAGCAATTTTAGTTTTTTTCTGATATTTAATTTTTAAGATAGATGTTTGTAAAGCATGAAAGTTTTAAGTAAAAACATTCAAAGACTCTTGTGTCCTACCTGCATGGCTCATCTAGTTCCTATCTCTGCCCTGTCCCTACTTTTTCGCATTATTTTCTTGGTTTGGTTTTACTGTTGCTTGCTGGCTTGCTTGCTTTTTATGTCTGATATGAATATTTAAACACATTTTTTTGTTCTTCTTAATTTTTATATCTTCGAGATTGTCTTTGTATATCTGTGTCAGAAGTCTTCCCCTTCCTCCTTTTTATTCCCTAAATAGTGTTCCATTTTAGAGATGTTCCTTACTTTATTTAATCAGTCATTTATAAGTTGAAATGTAGATTGTTTCCTGGCTTTTGTCCTCAAAAAACAGTACTGTAACACATGACTAAATCTGCAGAAGCAAAATTTTATATGCTTTGTGATTGTTAGCTACTGTGAAGTTGCCTGACAGAAAGGCTGTATACTCTTGTCAACATTCATAAGTAGAATTGTTTTATTAACTACTTTGGCACCTATGATATTAGCTATTAAATAAACATAAAAGTCTTAATAGAACTTTTGGGTCTTTGGTGCTCAGATTTTGTCCTCTTTGTGAATCCATATGCTCTGTACATGAGGAGAAACATGAAGAAGTTAAAACAGTTGTTTGTTATACTTTGAGGGAAGTCACTAACTGGAAGGAAAGCTCCTTCTTCCAAGCAGAGTTCCATAATGCTACTCTTTGCTTTTACTTAATGGTAAAAGTTATACAGACACCTTCATCTTATCAGTGACGTTCTCAATAAACTCCCCAGATCCTCAGGTAGCTAACTGGAATCTGCGGAAGCCTTGTTTCAGCTTACATATAATACCAGTTGATTCTATTAATTGTATGTGTGTGAAATCAAAATCACATCACATTTCTGAGCTTGTCTTTCCTAAATCTAACTGCTGAGTTAATTGTTTTCTTGGTTCACTTTAAAAAAAGAACACATAGAATGTTCTTGCTTAGCAAATGGGGAGAGGAAGATAAATGTGTAACCTACTGGGTTCTTTTTAATATCCAGATTAGATCCTGTGCTGAAAGAGAAACCAAGAAAAAAGATGACATCCCAGAAGAAGACAAAGGAAATGTGAAGCAGTGTGAAATCAACTATGTGTATGTATTCTCCTCTCAGACTCCATTCTGGTAGTCAGGGTTCTCAGGCCCCCTGATAGTAAGGTACATGAAGCTCCAGAAGAGCTGAAAATGGAAACTCAAGGATGAGCCAAGTTGAGCTGAATGCTTTTCTTACAGCCTCAATTTTCCTATTTATTCTTCCAATGTTTAAAGCTAAAGCTGCCTGGGTTGGTCAGCTCTCTTTCTTTAGTAGAGTTGCTTTCACACCACCCAGGGGCCATTCATGTTCCAGACACAAGGTCTTCAACCAGCCAACATCGCTAGGAGAAGGAAACTTTCCAGGGCTGCACATATGACAGCCCTCTTGATGGATCATAAAAACCACCTTTGTAGTAGAGAAACTATGGACTCTTATACAGTTAGGTTTGTTAAATAAATGTGTTGGAAAACTTAATAGTATTTGGAATTTAGTAAGGAAACTACTATAATAAAAGTTTGAGATTTGTTTTTTTCAATGTGAGATCTTTCTTCACAGAAAGAAATTTCAGAGCTTTCAAGACCACAAACTTAAAATAAGCAAAGAAGATAGTAAAATTCTTAAAAAGGCTCGGAAAGATGGATTTTTGCATGAGACACTTCTGGACAGGTAATTGTAGATTTACATAATTACAGCAGTTTTCAAAATCAGTACATTATATTACTGTTTTAGAATTTTTGTCTTCATCTTTAATTTATGTAGTAATGTTACCTAAATAAGACGTAAGTGTGGGGAAAGTGTGCTAAAAACAAACTCCTATGTTAGAACCAAAATGTAAATATTTGCATTCTTTTGGCTCTCCAGGTTTAATTGAAATTATTTCATAAATGTACTGAACTACCAGGCCATTTCCATGGTGTAGCAGTTAACATGCTTGCCCCGCATATATTTGCGTCCCATCATCTTCCCTTAAGAACTTTTTTCAACAATTTACTCACTTTCCATCCCAGCTGTGGCTCCTTCCCTCGTCTCCTCCCGGTCTCACTCTCCCTCTTACTCTCCTGTCCCTCATCCCTACTCCATGAATATGGGAAGTCCTCTCCTAGCCTATCAGGCCCCATCAGGACTGTCTGGATCCTCTTCCTGTGTGGTCTGGCTAGGTCACCCAACAAGGGAGAAGTAATCAAGGAGTAGGAGCAGGCAACCAAGTTCATGTCTGAGACTGTCTCTTCTCCCCTTACTAGGGAACAGGGAACCCACATGCAGTCTGAGCTGTCCATGGGCTACATCTGAGCAGGGGGTCTAGGTCCTCTCTATGCATGATCTTTGATTAATGCATCAGTCTCTGCAGTTCCCCCCTGTGCCCAGCTTTTTTGTCTTTGTTGGTCGCCTTGTGGTCTGTTGGTCTCCTATTAGTCTCCTGTCCCCTTTGGGTCCTTCTATCTCCACCTTCTTCCATAAGACTCCCTACTCACTGTGCAAAGTTTGGCTGTGAGTCTCAGCATCTGCTTCAATCCTCTGCTGGGTGGAGTCTTTTAGAGAACATCTGTGGTAGGTTCTGGTCCTGTTCCCTCTCTTCTACCACTTCCAGTGTCCACCCTGTTTTCCCTGCTGAGTGAGAATTAAGCATCTTCCCTAGGGTCCTCCTTATTGTTTAGCTTCTTTAGGTCTATAGATTTTAGTATGGTTATCCTATATTATGCGGCTAATATCCACTTATAAGTGAGTATATACCATGCATGTCTTCCTGCTTCTGGGTTACCTCACTCAGGATGATCTGTTCTACTTCTATACATTTGCCTGCAAATTTCATGATTTCTTGGTTTTAATAGCTGAGTAGTATTCCGTTGTGTAAATGTACCACAATTTCTGTATCCATTCTTCTATCGAGGGACATCTAGCTTGTTTCTAGATTCTGTCTATTACATAAAGCTTCTATGAACATAGTTGAGCAAATGTCCTTGTTGAATGGTGGCACATCTTTTGGGTATATGCCCAGGAGTGGTATAGCTGGATCTTGAGGTATAGCGCCAGATTGATTTCCAAAGTGGTTGTACAAGTTACAAGTTTACATTCATACCAGCAGTGGAGGAGGGTTCCCCTTTCTCTACATAAAGGACCTTGGTGTAACTCTTAAGAAGAGTGCATGGAATCTTACATAAGAAGTGGGAAATAGTAAGATCTGGAGAGGACAGGAACTCCACAAGGAGAGCAACAGAACCAGAAAATTTGAATACAGGGGTCTTGCCAGAGACTCATACTCCAACCAAGTACCATGCATGGAGATAACCTAGAACCCCTGCACAGATGTAGCCCATGTCAGTTCAGTGTCCAAGTGGGTTACATAGTAATAGGAAGAGGGACTGCCTCTGACATAATCTGATTGGCCTGCTCTTTGATCACCTCCTCCTGAGTGGGGAGCAGCCTTACCAGGCCACAGAAGATGACAATGCAGCCACTCCTGATGTGATCTGATAGACTAAGATCAGAAGGAAGGAAAGGAGGACCTCCCCTATCAGTGGACTTGGGGAGGGGCATGCGTGAAGAAGGGTGAGGGAGGGTGGGATCGGGAGCGGAGGTTATGGGGGCTTATGGGGGGATACAAAGTGAATAAAGTGTAATTAATAAAATAAAAGAATTAAGAACAGACACAGAAAGTTGCTTAAGTAATACCAAGATTGTCTGTGCCTTCTGTAAGAGTAGTAAATGTTTCTAAGACTGAAATAAAAATCTATGGATTTGTATCCAGATTAAAAATTCAGTAAGGGAAATTGAACCTGTTAAGGTTAGATTCAGCAATATGAAAGATATTTGTCATAGTGTATTGTTGATACTTGTTCCAATTTGTTTCTATTGAAATAAGTGACAGCCTATAGCTACGTCCTGGGAAAGTAGGCAGGGAAGTTAGCTGAGGGCTTAACACAGTCACTCTGTAGAGTGCCAAACTAAAGAGGAATCTGATAATCTCCTGGGACTTGTAAAGCCTTATGTTGCTAATTACTCCTAATCCTCTCATCTGATAAAATAATATGTAATCTTGTACTTCCTGTCAATCTGTTGCTATAGTTAGTAAAGATGAAATAGTTATTTGGAGAAATTTTTTTCAACCTTGAAAATTAACATACATGTGGTTCCAAGAAGTCAGAACAGGACATAAAATATAGTCAGACTAAGAGTTCTGAAATAGAATAATCTGTTAGACTAGCAGCTTTAAAAGTAGCTTAAAAAAATACACCATTTTTGTTTAGTAGAAACCGAGGGCAGGCTTAAACTCATAAGTGACTAATGTTTCTTGTGAACTGAGAAAGCCCTTAAGCCACCTTTGTCTTACGAAAGTTAGGAATCAGTTTACATTATAAGAAAGTTGAAAGACAAAGTTTTAGTAAAATCTTTTAATATAATTGTTTAATACAGTAATGAAAACAGAATAATTTGCAAACATGAGTTTTCTGTTTAGTAGCAGTTGGCTCTGTATTATATGTTTTACATTGATCGGTGGTTTTGTCTTAAACAGGAGAGCCAAATTGAAAGCTGACCGATACTGCAAGTGACGTGGACGTTTTTCTGTTGCTTTGAGTTTTTTTTTTTTTTCCTGAATAAAAATATTGAGTATAAGTGCTTTTATAGAGTTTTTGAATCCTTTTGAAATTATTGCTTAATTTAGTAGTTTAATCCAGGTCCTTCATGGGATTTACTTTTCAGGTAAGTGTATCCACTTAGGCAACTACAGAACTTTTTATCCTCTGCATTCCCTGTCATGTTACTCCAGGAAGCTCGCTCCCCCGCTGCCGTGGACTCTCACTGTTGCTGTACTACCTCTTTTCCTCAGTCCAAGCTTGATCAGTACTTGATTTAGAGGAAGTTAGAAACTGTTAAGCTGAATAGTAAGTAAAGCTTTGATACACTTCCCCCTTTTTTTTTTTCCTTTTTTCCTTCTGTTTTCCTTGTGTGTTTGCTTGCCTGCTTGTTTTGTGGTCTAGTAACATAACAGACATTGTCCTGCTGTATAGAAGGACATTTCAAGAACAGCCTGGGATATGTGAGACCCTGCCCACCCCCACCCCCTAAAAAAAGTGTTTTAGGCGAGGAGAAGGAGCAGAGGTCGAGGGGATCAAAATTTATTAAGTGAGCTTTAAAATAACAATAGCCATCACTCCTGAGACACTAAAAACACTAAAACTGAGACTGAATGCCACAGTTGGAGTAGACCCAGAATAGCTGCCTCCGTGTGGGGTAATGACTCATAGTTACTCATTTCACAAGTTTGGGTGCCTCAAAAGTCCCAGTCTGGCCAGGAAATTTCCACAGAGCTTGTGGCCTCTGTTCCACAGTGAAACTTGGAAATGCTGATTCTGCTAGACACTAAGAAACCAGCAATGTGAATCAATTCAGCACAAGACAGAAAGCCAAGTGACAAAAGGAGAGAATAATCCTCCTTCTGAAATACACTTTTTAATCTGTGTACTTAAAGGTGCTGCCTACAGTCAGGGTGGACCTTCCCACATCAATCAAGGAAATCAGGACAGTTCTTTCTTCAGGTGAGGTGCTCTATTCAGCTGATGATAATTTGTAGCAAGTTGACATTAAAATCAACCATAATAGAAAACAAAAAAATGTTTGCTATCCTGCCAAACACTGCCCTACTCCTAGACTTGATGTTCCATTCCTCTCCCTAGCTAACAGTGTTCTGTCTGTAATCACGGTCCCTAGTGTATACTCTTGCAGGTGATCTAGCCACCTTATCCCTGCCCCGAAGCTGGGCATTGCCTCACACTGCTCTCCAGTATCTGAGCTTTGAACTGGGAACTTCATCTTACACTCAGTCAAGGCTGCTTGTCTTTCTAAGGGTCATATTTCAGTAGCAGACAGCAGGAAGAGGATAAGGGTGCTAATAAACATATTTCCACACAGCAGTCTGCCACAACCAGAAATCATCCAACCTAGAATGCCAGCATTTCAAGACTATAGAACCTGCAGACTAACATCATGTGAGCATTCCTGCCCCCAAACATCATGAATAAATAGCTCAAAAGTACAGAATAATAAAATTACCTAGCCCACCTGTAGTCTCCAGTAGAGGTTTCTAGGAACCGTCCTTAGATGCAAGGTTTAACACATCTAACAATTAGACCCAAAGCTTGCAAGTTAGGAAAAACAACAAGTAAATCTGAAACAAGTGTTAGAAACTACATTGCGGGGGAGGAGTGGAGACACTGAAAGATGGAAAGATTTCTCATGGTGAAGGATTGTCATAATTAATACTATAAAAAGTGGTTGTATTACCCAATGCCATCCAGAGATTCAATGCAGTCCCCATAAAAATCCTTGTGATGTTCTTCACGAAGTTAGAAAACAAGCATAATTAATATGAAAGCAAAGACTGACTAATGCAGTCTTTGGCAGTAACACAATACCCAGTCTTATACTACGGAGCCATAGTAACAGGAGCAGCATGGTACAGAGGCAATAAAACACAACACCAACAGAGAATAGAACACTCAGACTAAATCCATGTATGTAGAGCTACCTACTTTTGTCAAAGTTGTCAAAAACACATTGGATAAGAATACTGCCTCTTTAATAAACCTTTCTGGGAAAACTGGATTTCCACATGTAGAACCAAATTATATTCCTATCATTAACACTGAATAAAGGTCAAAATGAATTGAAGATCACAATAGAAGACCTGAAACTGAAACCACTAGGGGAGAACAGTTTAACAAATTTTCTGAAAAGAATTCCAATACTACGAGAAATAACCCCAAGAACTGATAACTGGAATTACAGGAAATGTTAAATTCTGCACAGCAAATGAACTATCACTTGTCTCTGAAGAGAGCCTACAGAATGAGGGAAAAGAACAAAAAACAAAGCAGCCAGTTACACATCAGCCAGGATTAATAACCTAGAATAATAAACTTCAAAAGTTAGACAAGTCATATATTCAGTAAAATCTAAATAAACAGTTCTCAGAAGAAGACATGGAAATGGCCAGTAAATACTTGGAAAACATTCAACATCCTGAACTAATAGGGAAATGCAAATTAAAACTACTTTGAGATTCCATCTCCTCCAGTAAAGCGAATCATCAAGAAAGCATGCTACAGAAGATGTGAGGAAAGAGGAACTCTTATACACTAATGAGAATGCAGGCTGACGCAACTACTTTAAGAAATCATATGAAGGGGCTGGAGAGGAGTGGTTAAATGCACTTGGTGCCCTTGCACAGGACCTGGGTTTAGTTTGCAGCAGCCACTTGTTGGCTAATGACAGTCCATAACTCCAGTTACAGAAGATATGACATCTGGCCTCAGGCCACTGCACACACCTAGAGTACAGACAGACACACAAGCAAAACACCTAAACACATAAAAATATGCCATACTGGGTATGGTTGCACACACCTTTAATGACAGCAAAGGCAGAGGCTGGTGGATCTCTGGGTTTGTTGGTAGCCTGGTTTACAGAACAAGTTCCAGGGGAGCCAGAGAGAAACCCTATCTCAACAAGAAAAAAGTGGGAATAATAATTTTTTAATTAGTATGGTGGTTCCTCAAAAAGAAAAAAAAAATGAAAACTATGGTATGACTTAGCCATACCACTTGAGTATATATACCAACAACTAAGCAACATGCCACAAAGATCCCTTCACACCCATGCTCATTGCTTCGTTATTCACAATAGGCAGGAAACTGAGCCAGCCTAGGTGCTCATCAGTAGATCAGGAGATAAACTGGGGTGCAAAAACACAATGGGATTTTAAACAACCGTTCAGGAAAGTGAAGTCATGACACTTCTAAGAAAATGGATCTAACTGGAAATCATTGAGTTTTGAAATAAGCCAGACTTACACAAATATGTTTTATAAAAATGCTGAATTCAAATTCATAATTGTGTGTGTGTGTGTGTGTGTGTGTGTTTATATTGAGGAAGAAGGGTTGCACGACAGTCATGAAACTAAAAAGATGACCATGAAATGGGAGGAAGAGACCATAAGATGGGAAGTTAATGGATTACTAATAGGAAAGCAGAAAATAGATACTAATGGGGTGAGGGGGAGGGAAGGAAGAACAAAGCATAATAATACGTATGAAAATGTCATGGTGAAATGTTGGCATTCTTTCTTTGTTTTGTTTTGTTTGTTTTTTTAATGTTGGCATTCTTTAAACTACCTTATTTACATTTCTTATGCCTCTACCTCCCTTTTCCACCCCAATCCCTTCCAACACCGCAATACCAGGTAGGAGAGAAAGGTTAGTGGGGAGAAGGGGTGCATAGTCCTCTTTAGCTACTTCCCACTAGATAGTCCTGTTCCTTGGGGCAAATCCAACCCTCACTTCAGGATATCTCCAACTTCCTCTCTTCAGGCTGCATCAACAGCAACCAGGAGCAGCAGGAGGATGGGGAAAACACAAGAAGCCACCTTCTTTCTCAGAGACCCTTTCCCTCTCGGGGCTGTGGCATTATTTTCTCTCCAGAGTCCTCAGATTGAAACTATCTTCGGCTGGGAAAGAGCCCATCTCAGAGCCCACATGAGGCAAGTCGTTTGCTGCTGTGGACAATCTGAATCAGCCCCATATCCCACACCTGGGATTAAAACAAAAACATGTTTACATAATAGTTTTTTAAAGACAACAAAACTTCCACAACAGTGAAAGTCATTCCTGTACGAACTTAAAACTTAAAAGGAAGACTATTCTTGAAAAACTACCATCAAAAGACAGACCCTGATTTCAAGTCCTTGCTTGATACTCAAGACTATGTCTACTGACTGATTTTCCTAGAACAAACGTGTCTGCAGTTCTGTATATATTGTGTTCCCGGGTCCTTTGACAGCCCAATATTCTCCAGTTTTCTATCTTTATTCCAATAAGTAGACCTAATTACAGATTCTCAGAAGATCAAAATATGTATTGTATTAGGGAATAAATATACCAGTGAAGGTGAGCACCAAACATAGATAATAGATCTGCCTGGTTATCTTCACCGATGCTGCTAGAACATCAAAGTCAGTCTGGGAAAGTGGCAGAAGTTAAATCAGAAGTCATAGAGCACTGATCTGTCACACCCAAGGCCCAGGATTCAGCCTCTACTTGGTGTTGTGGGATAAAGGCATCTAAATGTGCCCCTTTTTACAGCTCATATCTCAGGTTGTTAGGAGAAATTCTGCTTAAAGCATTAAAGTATTAAGAGTATTGTCCTGATATAGCAGTCTAGTAACCTTACCAAAAAAAGATAAAAATAGTGGCCTAAGAAAAAGTGTCCACATTTTTTCAGATTAGATTGTTTCTAACTGTATAGAAGTTCACTGGGGTCCATAGACTTTTTTCTTGGAGGAAATACATAATATAAAATATTTTTGTTGAAAATAGTACTTTACATACCCTGAAATCTTTACAACTACTAAATATTACATGTTTAAAAGACTAATAACTTTCCAGGTGAAGTGGTGCATACCTATAATCCTAGCTCTTGAGAAGTGGAGCCAGTATGATCAGAGTTTAGTTTGGGTTACATGAGACTCTTACCTCAAACAAAACAAAGCCGTCAAAGATTTGGTGGCTTATTAGGATTGTTTTTATTTTTAACCTTTAAGGGGTTTTTGAGAAGGTCTTCAGTAGCTCAGGCTGGCCTCAAAGTTGCGATGTAGCAACTATGTAGTCTGGTCTTAGATTCTTGATCTTTCTGCTTCCACTTCCCAAGTACTAGAATTGTACTTGTGTACCACCGTATCTTCCTTGCAGCATTCAAATGTTAAAATCACAGTAATGTGGATACTGAAGTCACTAAAACTGAAGTGTGATACTGAGAAGGAAAAAAAAAAGATTTCAGGTTGGTGTGGGGTGCTGTTGAAGAACATTGTGGAGATGCTGTGGTGATGGGTGTGGGTGCTGTCATCCTGACAGACAGGGACAGTGAGGTGTTTCAGAACTAGTATTTGGAATCCTACGTGATCCTCCAACTTTGGGTATATAGGAATGAAAGTTGAACTCACCCTGGAAAAAAATCAGAAGGTGCATTTATGTGTGAAAGCCAAAGTATTTCCTTTGGAAATTTGTAATTTTCTATTTGTTTTTCAGGCTAGCTTTGAGTTCTCAGAAATAAAGGGTTCTTCCTGCCTGTTTTCCATGTAGCTAGCATTAGAAGTCTAAGAGGACATTCATTCTTCCTTCTGTGGTTCTGTCCCCACTCCGCTGTTAACTGTACTCAGGAGCCAAGAAAAATCCTACTTGTAGACCTCTATTTCATTACTTACTGTCACAAACTAATACTAAATGTGGTGGCATTTTCTTTTCTGAGATTCTCATGTCAAGTCAAACTCTACAGATGAGGAAGATTTCATAGCCAAGTCTTCTATTCTGAGCTATAAGGTAGATTTCATATCATGTACAATTCTGTGCTAGCTAGTTTTATGTCAACTTGATACAAGTTAGAGTCACTGGAAAGAAAGGAACCTGAAATGAGAAAAGGCCTCTATGAGATCAGGCTGAGAATGACAGTAAGTAGCACCCCTTCTTGGCCTCTGTGTCAGCTACTGCCTCCAGGATCTTTTCCCTGTTTGGGTTCCTGTTCTGGCTTCCAACAATGACAAACAATGATGTGGAGTGTTAAGTAGATGAACCTTTTCTTCCCCAAGTTGCTTTTAGTCAAAATGTTTGATCACAGCAGTAATAACCCTAACTAAGACACACACATTATTGAAACATCTAATCTATTTGGATTAAGTGTTTAAATATATCTGTCACCAAAACATAAAACGTATAGAAGCAAGAAAGATAGCAGGAACCCTTGGGGATGAATGGTTATTAAACCAGATCACACCTGGAAGCCTCTACCAAAGTTAGGACACTTGAAATGTTGAAAAAAAAATACCAGAGATGTTTCAAAAGAGAATCTGAATACAATAGCCACATTTCTCAGAAACAGTGAATAGGCTATTCACTCCATATGAATCATAAGAAATGATTCATGAGCCTGGGCAATACAGTGGTATGTTTAAAAAAGAAAGAAGCAAGAAAATATTAAAAATTTCTACTTAAGGTAACACTATGACTCAGTGGTAGGGCATGTGCAAAGTTGGAGGTTTGGTTCCAAACAGTTAAATAAATAATAGGTTTGGTTAAACATTGGATTAGACAGCCAGAGAGAAAAATTAATAAACCAGAAGGTACCTGAATATATGACGCTCCATACATCCCAAAGCGACAAGGAAGATCTGATGAACTCTAAGCCAAAGAAGCATGGAGAGCATAATGAGAATATCTAGTATATATTCTGTTAATGTATGAGATAATAGAAAAACTAAAAGAAACAATAGAACAACTAAGAATTTTTCAGACAACAAATTTTGGCATACTAGAGAAATCCAAATATAAATATCACATGTGTACGTTATGGAGAAGCTACTTAATTGAATGTTTTTTTTAAAGCCAGAAAAGTGATAATCTAGGAAAATTCAGCAGTTTAGGTGATTGCTAGATTTTTGCCAAGCACCATGAATCCTAAAGATAGCAAAATGGTGTCTTCTTGAGTGAGAGAAAACAATTGTCAAACCAAAGTTCTCTACTTTATGAGACTGCTTCCCATTTTCCCGTTTAAGATTGAAATGGTCCACGTGAGACAGTTACTGACAACCACATCTATTAAGCCAATTAAAATTTCTAAATTCCTTTATGTTTTTAATTTCTTTTATTTTTCACAATTAATTCATTTTATATCCTGATTGCAGCCCCCTCCCTCATTTCCTCCAGGTCCTCTCCTCCCTCCCTCATCCTCTCTATACCCATTTCCTAGCCCACTGAAAGGGGGAGTTCTCCTCCCCTGCCATCTAACCCTAGCTTATCAAGTCTCATCAGGACTGCCTGGATCTTCTTCCTCTGTGGCCTCGAAAGACCTCATCAATAGCAGGAAGTGATCAAATGGCAAGCAACTGAGTTCATGACAGAGGCAGCCCCAGTTCCCCTCACTAGGGAACACACATGGAGACTGAGCTGCCTATTGGCTACATCTGAGCAGGGAGTCTAGGTCCTCTCCATGCATGGTCCTTGGTTTGTGCAGTCTCAGCAGTTCCCCCCTGGGCTCAGATTTTTTAGCTTTGTTGGGGAGCTCCTGTCCCTTCCGGGTCCTTTGTTGCCCCTCTTCTTCCATAAGACTGTTGTGCTTTGCCCAAAGTTTGGCTATGAGTCTCAGCATCTGCTTCGATCCCCTGTTGGGTGGAGCCTTTCAGAGGACCCTCTATAGTAGGCTCCCACCTGTTCCATCTCTTCCACCACTTCTGGTATCTATCCTGTTATCCATTCTGAATGAGATTTAAGGGTCTTTCTTGTTGTTTAGCTTCTTTAGGTCTATAGCTTTTGGTATGTTTATCCTACATTATATGGCTAATATCCACTTGTGAGTATATACTATGCATGTCTTTCTGCTTCTGGGTTACCTCACTCAGGATGATCTTTTCTAGTTTCATCCATTTGCCTGCAAATTTCTTTGTTTTTAATAGCTGAGTAGTATTCCATTGTGTAAATGTACCACAGTTTCTGTGTCAATTCTTCTATTGAGAGATATCTAGGTTGTTTCCAGATTCTGCCTATTACAAATAAAGCTTCTATGAACACAGTTGAGCAAATGTCCTTGTTGAATGGTGGAGCATCTTTTGGGTATATACCCAGGAGTGGTATAGCTGGATCTTGAGGTAGCTCTATTCCAAAATTTCTGAGAAAGCATCAGATTGATTTCCAAAGTGGTTGTACATGGTTACATTCACAACAGAAAGAGAGGAGGATTCCCCTTTCTCCACATCCTCTCCAGCATGTGTTGTCACTTGAGTTTTTTATCTTAGCCATTTTGATTGGTGTAAGGTGGAATATCAGAGTTGTTTTGATTTGCATATCCCTGGTGATTAAGGATGCTGAGCATTTATTTAAGTGTTTCTCTGCCATTCGGTATCCTCTGTTGAGAATTCTCTTTGTAGCTCTCTACCCCATTTTTAAATTGAATTATTTGGGTTGTTTATGTGCAATTTCTTCAGTTCTTTATATACTCTGAATATTATACCTCTGTCACATGTAGGGTTGGTGAAGATCTTTTCCCAGTCTGTAGGCTATTGTTTTGTTCTGTTGACAGTGTCCTTTGCTTTACAGAAGCTTTTTCAATTTCATGAGGTGACACTTATTATTTGTTGATCTTAGAGCCCCAGCTTTTGGTGTCCTGTTCAGGAAGTTGTCTCCTTTGCCAATGAGTTCAAGGCTCTTCCCCAATTTTTTTTCAAACAGATTTTGTGTGTCTGGTTTTATGTTAAGGTCTTTGATCCACTTGGATTTTAGTTTTGTCCAGGGTGATAAATATGGGTGTATTTACATTTTTCTACATACGGACATCCAGTTAGATGATCACCATTTGTTGAAGATGCTATCTTTTTCCCATTGTATGGTTTTGGATTCTATGTGTCTGTAGGTGTGTGGGTTTATTTCTGGGTCTTTGATTCAGTTCCATTGATGCACCAGTCCTTTTTCTATGCCAGTACCATGCAGTTTTTATTACTGTTGCTCTAGACTACAGCTTGAGATCAGGGATAGAGATATCTCCAGAAGATCTTTTATTGTACAGGATTATGTTAGATGTTCTGGGTTTTTTGTTTT